TCCTCAACACATAGTCCCCCTGTCAGCTCCTGTTAGTCCATCAGCTTAGCATGGCTTTCTGAAAGAGAGCAACAATCAGCGTTAACTTAATCATTGTTTATTTACTGTGTACGAGCCGTCACAGAAACAGCTCTATTCAGCAAAGATGTTCAAACACTTGGACAAATCATAGAGTGCAAAGGGTCACACACGGCTTACACTGAAAATGCCAGTTATGCAAGGAAAGAAGGAACAGAAAGAAGAATGAATAATAAACATACATTAGTCGGGGACACAAAATCCATTTCTAGCATTTTGAAATTTTCCTCTGCAGTTTGGCATTTCACATTTTGCTGTCACTGTTGATTGCAGTTTTGTAGAAAGAAGGAGGACATCAAAACACCATAAAGAGAGCCATTAAGAGGACACGAAGCGAGACTGACTAAACACGTGCTGGTCCAACAACAAGGATATGATCCCTCACCAGCTTCTCAACTACTACTGCTGGAACACACAATTGAGCCAAAGACTGAACTTTCTGTTTGTTCTAGAGAGCGTTCCTTTCACTCAGGAGCTGAATCTATAATTATAAAGAGCCACATGAGCACAGACACTGTAATACATAGAGAATAAGCGTCACACTGTATGTACCATACTTCATCACATGCCTCTGTATACTGTAGCTTGCACCAACCTCTTCTTTATCTGCACCAACCAGACCAGCTGTCTTTAGTGGATTCACCTCTGCTTTCTGGCTTTCTCCTCTTGCAGGAGTGACCACCTGCCTTGATGCGTCCCTCCTTTCTTCAACCTCAGTGTTTCTGAGCCCTGCCTTCCCGCAGAGCTCCTTAGCTCTTACCTAATCTCATCTGATCTGGGAGGAGGCAGAGAGTGAGACGAAGCCAGGCTTTATCCTAACCCTCCCTGGATTATTGCAGCATGTGGAGCCCAGCGCTGAGCCACCAAAACCCCCACAGCAGACCCATTTCACATGGTTGAGAGATAGAACAAATGCATTTGTCTTTCACCAGAGAAAATGTATTGGTTATTTTTATAGATTTAAATGTAGTGCACATATCTTAAATGGTAATATAGTTAAATACCACCAAAAAAAACCCACACACACACTTAAATTTTCCAAAATACCATTTTAATTCCAAATATATCTTAGCCCACTTTGTTCTTGTTCCATTTAAATGATTATTTGAAACCCTACATTTTCTGTTTTTTTTTAACATTTAAAGCAAAGTTATATTTAAACACAATTAATTTGCAAGAAAAGGCACGCTATCACTCTAATGCTTCCTGTTCACCATCAGCCGAGATCCCAACTGACCCTCCAGAAGTCACGGCAGAACATAAACTGTAACAGACAAAGACTCCTTGTATGTTCGGGATTTAAAGGTCACGCGGATTTATCGGTTTTACAATCTGGATGATTTGATGGGAAGACACGAATATTTTTAAAAGAGAGAACGAAAATCCTTTCCATGATACTCATCCCTGCAAGCATCATCATCATGCAGATATTTATTTCAGCCTGTGCTTTTGAGTGTTGAATATTTGCAGTGTTCTAAGTTTCAATCAGATAAACCCTAGTATTGCTCTGGTATTATTAGGATAACAGACTGGACTTTGTACCTTAGTCACGGCATTCTGTCGCTAAAACATGATGATCTGCTTAAATCTGCTAAATTTGAACACTTCAGGTCACATTAAGTAAAGTCATAACCATAACTGGCCTCTTAGCCGGCCTAACTGGAAATCTGAATAAATGGGACTGCCCCGTTATTTGCTGGTGCCAGCAATTACTTTCGTTTGGTGTAAAATGATTTTAGAAGATCTTAAATGTTAAGACAGGAAATGTTTATTCTTCCAATTTGGAAGCCTGTTGAATTAGAAACAGTTGAATGTGTTCATTGTTTGCTATTATATATTTATATCAGTATAAATGTGTTCAGCATAAATGCATCTTATGTAATAACATTGAAAACTTACCTGAGATGGTGCTTTTTCATTTTGTAGCAGATTTAAAGTTTGACATTATTGCAAAAATCTTTCATGAATCTGCCGCTTCACTGGTCATTAATGACCTCTAATCATCTATCCATTTTCGTAACAGGCTGGAGTCTGTCCCAGCTGTCACAGGGCGAGAGGCAGAGTATACTCTGGATAGACCACCAGTCTACCATAGAGACAGACAGCCAACTATTCATGCTCGCATCCACACCCACGGCCAGTTTATAATCACCAATTAATCCAACATGTCTTTGGACTGTGGGAGGGAGCTGGATAACAAGGAAACCTCCGTGTTGTGACAGTGCCACTGCACCACCATGCTGCCTATGATAGGAAAAATATGGTGGCTAAAATCAGTACAATAATTACTTTGAACCAAGCTGCCAACTTGCCAAATTAATAGAAGTGTTGTTGTGGAAGCAGTTTGCATCCATATACAACTCTGTCAAAGATTTACATTAGAAACCAGTTTAACTAGTTATAATCCAACACTTTGTACTGAAATTGAGCACTCAAAGTGCTTCTATGCTACAAGCTGCATTTATCCTTCCTATTTCAACTCTGATTGATCAGAGGCAGCAGGGTTCAGCTTCTTGTCTAAGGAAACTTTGACATGTGGACTGGAGAAGCCAGGAATTGAACCACTGACCCTCCTACCAGGGGACAGCTTGCTGTTTCTCTTACCACAAAATGCGAATGGGAATATTTCCTATCACTTTATTTGCTTCAAAAAGAAAATGTAGAAAAATGTACCAAAAAAAGACAAGTGTTAGGTCTGTTTGTCTTTTTTGAATTGCATTAACGCTAACCTTTTTAACGGGATATTTTTATAATTAAAGACAAATTAAAGTTTGTTTTTAAGACCCCCTTTTTTATTACACACTAGTGTTAGAGTCTGGACTGGATAGTGGACCGGTGCTCTTTTCTAATATATTTAGCAACTCACACATTAAGTGCTTAATAGTAGGAGGACACAGCACAGGACTCTGATACCAGACTTGGGTTCACCTTCTCTTGTGTTTTGGCGGCCCAGCGCGGCCCAGCTCAGTTGTCAACAATGGCGGCAGCTAGTTAGTTGTAATATTACTCTTATTATTCTTTCTGGGTCACAAAATAAACGTTTAACATATTTTCA